GCCTCTATTATATTTATGCAACATAAGGCAATAAATCCTTTGGTATTCCTGACCTCCTAAGAGGATGAACATGCACAGCCTCACATTCTACAAATATTTTCTGGTTTCATGGACACTGAGCCTCTCCAGAGACCTTTCATACTCTTTGCTACAATTGATAATGGCATTCATTACAAAATGTAGACTTAGGGGTAAATGCCCATTTGCACAACTTTCTTTTCCAGCTCTAACATGTAAAATTGCATTTACTCTGAAGTAATTATGTGGAAAGTTGAATCTATACATTCAGAGGGAGGGCTGACTCTCCACCACCCACCCAACGCTGAAATCCTGGGTTGTATTTACCAAAAAATACATGGGCCAATGGATGGAGAAGAAGGGTTAGGGAAGAGAGATAAAGTCATGTTTTTGCTTTGGCTAAAATGTGATAGTTATTAGTATATGCAACAGAATTAGTGGTGAGTAGGGAAGGGTTGTAACCCCTTTCATCATATATTTTGCTGTAATTTGGCTACTTCAGGGGATTGCTCTTCACTTCTTGTCCTGGAGGTTAAACAGGAAGTAAGAGGACAACTCTCCAAAGTGAGGAAAGTCCCATTGGATGATTTCCCCTTGCCTCCTGCTCTGTTGACAACTCTAAAATTGTGTTATAAATTGGCCCCTAAGTCTTTATGTACCGGGGTCTTTAGGTTGTGTAAAGAGACGAGACATACAAAGTCAACGCAGAAAGATTAGGACATAAATATGCAGCAAAGTTCTTGCTGCACCATCACTAAGTGAGGCTCTACCTCGGTTCATGTCAATGGTACACAAGACAACAAAAAGGACAAAAATGACAGACCAGTCACTGGGACACGTTTCATAACTTTTTATTACAGTTTAAGCAGAATATTTACAATTATTGGCCACAAAACCAGTGCAGCCTTCACAAATATCAAACTGCTTCCTGGATTTGAACATGACATCTTCTCTCTGAAATATCTTACATTAGATAGACCTTTTTTTAGAGCATTACTGTCCCGCTATTGACCTTTAGGCTTAATAAGAATGTCAATGATGTTTCCGGGTCCCCTTTATCGTTAATATAATCCAAAGACAATTAAGACTTATATTAAACTTCAAGATTGAGAATAGGGTGGAACCATCCCCATAAAACCCGAATGGCCAATAAGGGTGATTCACCAACCCTTGCATCCAAAAGACTTCAGTTTCTGTTACAATATAGACATGCAGTACTAAGTGTACCGTCGCCTTCAGAATATTTTTTATACTGGTTTTAATTATAACTGGATTGGTGGCAGGTAGGGTCTTCAGTCAACTTAGTACTACATAAGAAGCCTTCCTCATAATGTCTGGGATGGGGGCTTGTAGATTACACCTTATTTTAGGCTACTCTGATATTTGTTTTCAAGCCCATAATGGCCTTCAAGGATATAGCTAGAAAACCAAAATTTTTCTCTTAATTATCTGGATATTGCCAATCCAGACACATATGCTCACTGTATCTCTATCCATAGTCATAGAGCTTGTTGTCTCCATCCAAGAAATGAATAGGATACTTTCCAGAGATAACTTGTGCCATGGAAACTTTGAAAGCAAGTTTGGTCCCCAAGCATAATTAATGGCAGATTGCCTGCACCTAATAAAAGCTGTAAAATAAATTAAAGTCTACAAAAAATAATTCTTCATTGCAACATTTATTAATAAAAATACAAAAACGTTCCACCCGCTCACACTTGCACACTTTCAGGAATGGTAATCTATCGCTGGACTTCTTTTTTGTCCCAGACATATTCTATTGTGGCATTACTGGAATGTTCACCAACTTTTCAGAGGGAAATAATTGTAGAAGAACCTTGCTAGTGATATACAGTAGTGGTTTTAGACTAGCACCCTTCTTTTATAAATTAGGGCTACCCAGGGGAAGTTATAGAAACTTGGGAGTGTGTCCAGAGTAATTCAGCTTTCAAATTCTGGCTTGTACTGATATTATGATAGCTAAGATCTGATTGGTGCCTCTGAGACATGTCCCTTCTTTCTTTCTACCCACTTTAGACTACTGTTCATTACTCGTGTGATAACCCAGATATGGAGTAACTTTGAAAACATGAAAATGTTCAAGCTGACTATAGCACTGTGAGAAAACAATTCCAGTTCTTAGTACTGACAATGTGATGCCCTTTGATCTTTATACATGCACAATAAAGCCTCCAGTTACGGTATGTTAGAAAAATCAGAAATGTGCCCACCACCAGTTGGAATACCATGTAGATTCTCATTTCAAAGTTGCATATGCACTTAGATCTTTCTCTTCATTTCACTCCAAAACCAAAACATTTAGGCCCCATTCACTCTTGAGTGTCTTTGGGTGTTTTTGCAAGGTTTTCCGGCTTGAGCGTTTTTCATGTTTTTCCAGGTGTTCTCATTAAAGTCTATTGGCGCCAAAATGCTTAATGCTGCCTGAAAATAAACTCATATATTTTGAGTTACAGATATGCTCAGGTGTGAAATAATGTGAAAACAATGGGATTCCTCCTGTTGAGCAATGGGGGTGTCCCCAGCCTTTTCGCTACCTGAGGCCAGGGGAGGGGGGAGCTTGCTGGAGGTGCACATTCCGGGGAGGGTGTGGGATGCTGATGGTGCAGCTGATGTGGGGTGTTGTAGAGCATCTCACTGCCCAGCTCTGGCCGGTGTCCCGTCCAGCTCACTGACGTCACTGGTAGCCAGAAGCTGGGGAGGACTTCGGACAGAGTGCCACAGGTTACTAAGAGCTGGCTGGGGAGATGTGTATGGTGCTAACACATCACCTTGGCTCATTCTTAACAACATGTGACCCTCTGGCCTGAAATAAGGCAACAGGCACATTGAAAACATTATGCAGCAGAGCAGCTAAGCCCCTCTGCCTGCCACCCCCATGTTACCCAAAGAGATGCCGCATGAGGCAACATTTTCAAACTGCCTCAATATTGGGATGGCCCTAGTTTTAGCACTTAGTTGTTTGAGCTACAAAACGCTCAGGTGTGATTGGGGGCTTAGATGTTTATTCATTAAAGAAGTGCAAAAGATCATAGATGGCCACCGGTATAGCAATTCATTGCATTTAGCAAGAAGTCATCTTTTTCTGATTTAACTGTATCTGTTTACCAGGAAAAACTGTACTTTGCACATCATCACTGAAATGAGATGTGTTGAATAACCTATAAGGACATTAAAACCTAATTTAAATATAATTTGTGTAAAAACAAATTGGGAATTGAAAATTAGAACTGTTTATGCATCACATTTTTCTTCCTAGTTTTGGTTAGAATAGGAACATACTAAAACTACTGTAATTTTATTCTGCCTGTGTCCCATTGGGGAGATTTCTCCTCTCTTCCCATCTTGGAGATGCAACAGGAAGTGAAGTGAATCTCTCCAAAGTGAGGGTGAATCCCCACTCAGTTGTCTCAGGAATAAATCTCCCTATAGAAAGGGTTCCCCTCTATTCTTGTTCCTGTGACAACTGTACAATGTTGGATTACACATCACTTTCTCTCCCTCTGTGACAATGGTTATCAGGACAATAAGAGAGATGGAATCTCCCCAGAAGGGTCATAGACATCAATTAGTTCTAACCTTTCCCTACTGTATCCAAAACTAAAAATAATGGGTTACACATTCACTTTGAAGTTTAAACTCCAGGCAGAACTGATATAGTTCCTTGTGGATTAGTCACTGGCACTGTGAAAGATGCATCTACTTCTCACATACTTCGTGGCTTCCAGCAGTGAGATCCATCTCCTGTAATGACCCTTTAGGAAGGAACGAACACAGAATGGGGGGAAGACTATTACTACATTGTTCTGCATAAAGCCAATTTACTATAATAATGTTGGTCAAATATTGGAAAACATTATGGAATTTTCGGAATCTCAATGGTAGAGCACAAAAAGCATGTAAGTCAATGGGCTGATTTACTAAAACTGGATAACAGAAGGCTGGCGCAAAAAAGCAGAAGTTGTCCAAAGAAGTTATGTCCATGGTTCTAGTAATGCAGAGTTTCAGCCCCAGCATGCACTTCACCACAGTATCCATAGTGAACAATGAATAATCCGTTTCTTGTAGAAGTCCATGTAGGAAAACAATAGCCCATACTTGGCATACATGAATATTTTGCTTACGTTACTGTCAAATGTGTTTTCCACAAAATGCTGAGGATAAACATATGAAGTAATTTGACTTAAAGAACATTACAATAATTTTCGTTGAAAAGGAATAAGTATACACTGGCGTTCTTTTATGTCCCAATATGTCATGTAGAATGTGGCATTTCAGGGCATTGTTCAAACAGTGGTGAATGATACATTTGAGCAAAGACATATATCTTTGTTCCCAGAGTTTGGCTTTTTGATGTGAATCCAGAACTGTCTTCTATAACTTAAATGAGGTCCAAAGGCACCAAACATTGTGAAATAAATTAAAAAAAAACTAGTATTATGCTCCAAATATTTAAAAATCCTGCACAACACTAACCAACTTCTGCTTTGCAGCTTCTGCTGTTTTTTTGTGCTTCTGGGTCTTCTATAATGTTTTGTGCCACATTTCACATGTAGCTGGGCTCCAGGATGTAGGAGAGGTTGGCAAAGTAGAGAGGTTGGTTGGATTGGGGGCGCAACATTAGGGAGAAGGGGAGGGGTTGTGAGGGACTACTGAAGAAAACAGTGTACTAGTTTAATAGCTTCTGCATGTGTGATTACATTAGGAGATATTGGGAAAGCAGAATTAAGCAAAGTAGGGCTAGGGTAGTTTGATAACTTTGTGCCAATGCGCCTACACCAACCACCAATATTCAGAAGCTCATAGCAAATGATAGTCTCAAATATTCAGTGGCGAGGTTTCTGTAAAATTCAGATGACATTAAACTGAACCAATTCGCTGCCTGTCCCAAAGATCTGACATTTTTGGTGACCACTGAAATACCATGTCTATGACATACTGAGTCATGCTTCAAAATTGTTTAGTTTTGTACAGTTCAAGGTGCTACAGTCTTTTTCCTTTTATTATTACCATTGTGTTAAGTGAAGCCTCTGCAGTTGAACTTATGAACAGTATCAATGTTTTATAATTCACTAGGAAAAGTGGTGGCTTTGATATCACACCATGACATGAGACAACCAATACACATTTGTTTTTCATGCTGCATACAGCACCATACCCTCACCGGTTAAATAATTAACAAACAGCACAGAAATAACGAGGCCAAACACAGCCATTCAATAGAGAATCTGTCCCACTATTCAGCAGAACTTTCTCTACAACCCATCTCTCGTACAACGGCTGTACAGAATCCCACTTCTCCTGTAACATGCCAGGAGTCCTCCAGTTGGTTGTGTTGGAAGCTTTATGTATAATATAGTAGAGGTTTAAGTCCACAGGGGCCCCGTCACCTAAAGAGCCAGTTGTAGCTTGGTCATATTTCTCTGGTGCATGTTGTGATGACGGACCAGCTCATCTGACCTGGCAAACTTCTTCTGACAGCTAGGCCATCTACAACTGAAAGGCTTTTCACCTGTTGACACAGAAATGTCCAGTTATCATGAAAGAAAACCTTATCAACAGCATGAATGTACAAGCAAGATAAACTAGGCATACGGCTAAATGTGTCTGTAGAGACTGGATGAAAGTTTATCTGACGTGAATGATTTTCACATAATTGTTTGATGTTTGGTGGTTTGAATAATTGAGACAGATATTCTTGGATTGTTGGGTTGTTGTTCTATGTGTATAAATGTAGGAAGAAAGGGTGTAATTGTGCTATCTGTACAGTGCTATTGACCAGTCTTAATATCTGTGGTTTGAATAATTGTATGTCAAAGAACTGGTCCTGGACAGCAATAATATATAATACATATGGAGAGCTAAGAGAGTAAATTTAGGGGACGAGCATTTCAATTGTTTTCAACCATTGAGATTTTTTTCTCCATTTGGTCTACTCCTGGGTGTTTAAAATCTCATAAGAATGTGCTCCTCCTGTGGGCTGCAGAACATCCTCGAGGGATTTAGAGTGCCCACCTCTCCCAGGAGGCAGCAATGAAGCAAGATGGTGTCACCCATGCACATGGAGTCGTAAGAACTTGGAGCCTAGATATTCCTTTTTCTTTTGACAAAATCTTTATTTTTAAAGTTTTTTCAAACTATTTATGATTTGGGTGAGGGGGACTGACAGTAAAGTCATCCCGTGTCTTACCCATGTAAGGCAAAGCAGCAGGTTAACTTAAAAAGTATGTATTGCAAAAACTTTTTTTTTTAGCTCTGGATAGAGTAGGGTGGCATGCCGTGGTTCCTTCCATTCCTCGTTCCAGACTGCGCTCAATGGTTTGATTGAATGGCACCTACATCACTAATGTGGATGTAGAGATCATTTGATCAAACCATTAAGCGCAGTTGGAGACTAGGAATTTAAAACTCCTGGAAGTGTTGTATTCTGCAGGAAAGCAGTTTCTCTTCACTACAACAGAGATTAAGAGGTGAGGGGGCCTAGACAGTATATGCAAACCTTGCATTTTATCGCAAGGTCTCCTTTAAGCAAGGGCGTCCCGAGGCTTGGTGTCACCGCGCAATCGCGCGGTCGTCTTAATGACGCCTGCCGGGCAGCCATCTTGGTGATGGATGTCAGGAGAGAGAGGAGGGGAAGTTTTCCCCAGGTAGGATGAGGTATGCCACAGGGTCCCCTCCTCTGTCCTGACACTGTCGGGCTCTCGGTCTGTGACCAAGTGCCCATCTTTTCATAGGGGGTGACACCAAAATGACTGTCAGTCCAATGGTGGCACCCGGGTTCGGGCCGCACCCCCCGCAACCCCCTTGTGATGCCACTGCTTTAAGTTAGGATCAGGTTCAGAGTCAAGGATTAAATTAGGGGTTAAGTTTTAGACTTCAGGTGAGGAAAGGGTTACGTTTAACATGTCAGCTAATGTCAGTTTAAGGTTAGGGATCAGGATGTACTTGGAACAAACTATTAAGCAATTAAAATATGTCTATATGTCTGTTTTTTTAGCTAGAGTAGAAAAACAGGAAGTGAATAGAAAACCCTCCAAAGTGAGTTTTGGCTTGAGATACACTTTATTTTGGCTTGAGGTATACTTTACGTTTTGTTGGTATTGAGTACAAGTACCGATATTTATATTTCGGTACTCGTTGATACCGGTACTTCCGCAAGCATAGAATCGGCTTTTCGGCCAGTCAGGAAGCCAGGCAGCATGTCATTACCCGTCTCCCGGCTTCCTGATAGGCTGGGAAGCCGGCTCCATGTTCCCTTGTGGCACTGCAGGTCAGAGGAAATCTCTGTCTGACAGGAAGTTCCGGTATCAGGGCTAAGTATCAGCGCATTTGGCCGAGTACAAGTACTCGCCCAAATACTTGGTATCGGCACTAGTATACGTATCGGTGTATCCCTAATAATTATTATCAGACACATTTTTCTAAATCTTAAGTGAACTCTGTAATTACAAGCAGCAGTAAAATTCAAGAAAATATAAATGTGAATAAAGGTTTACGCACTTGTTTTACCTGTATGAGTCCTGGTATGGGTCTTTAGATGGTCGGACCGCGAGAACTTTCTCTGGCAAGTTTTACACTGGAAAGGTTTCACACCTGTAGACAGAATTAGAGGCCTTCAAGTACATTGAACCCCTTATACTGAACTTCTCTTACTTGCTTCCTGTGCACTATCTGCACTGAAATCTTAAGTAGTGTCTTGCCCAGTTCACCTTTGCTAGACTAGAGACTGCTCCCCCATTATTTGGTGTTCTCTAGTCCTGACCTAGGGTGACAAAGCTGCTCTTCCATAGATACAGTACAGTGAGTGAGCGTTGTCACCTTAGGAAAAGAAGTGCATTACTAGCACAATAACCAGGATAAAATAAAGGGGGGAAAAGTCTGAAAAAATATTTCTTCTAATATCTTCTATATAATCACCTTTTTAGTTCTTGGGTTCAGATACTCTTCCTAAGCGACATCTTAAACTTAAAAGTGCTTCCTTCTGTGACCCATGTGATTATTCTGTTTTTAAATAGTTATTAAGTGCAGGGCCGGCCTTAGGGGTGTGCGAGCCGTGCGGCCGCACAGGGCGCCATGGCAACAAGGGCGCCGTGCGGCCGTCACAGCTCGTCCTGTGGGCGGCTTCTCTCCCCCTACTTTCTCGCACAGGGCGCCTAAAGGCCTAAGGCCGGCCCTGATTAAGTGATGTGGATATATGTAATCAGGCTAATGGATAGGCAGCTATCGCTGGTCTAAGAGTTTCCACAGTGTCTTTGGCTTGACAGCGAGCACAGTATATGTAATTGAAGCACCACACCAATTAAAATAGTCCAGATACAACTTTATTTCAATAGGTTTAGGGGACAATCCAGTAAAATAGCCAATGCATTTCAGGGGTCCAAAAACACCCACTTCATCAGGGGTTAGTGAGAGAAATCGTGTATATGTACTATAATCTCTGCAGCTTGAAATTTGTATTGCGCTGTGATGGGAGTACTTCAGGCTTGTGTGAGTAGGGATGAATAGTGATTTGGTACATTTTCTCTTGTGCCTTAATCTCAGTGAAAATGTAACTAAATTTTAACATTGAATATTTTCTCGACTTGGCGACAAATGCATTGGAGTCAAATAGAGGTAATTTTTACCTCCATCGGAGAGGGGGGGAATCCCTGCAGGGAGCGGTGACTGGCAGAGGATCAGGAAGTGAGTGGATCGGCGGCATGTTTTCACTTCCCGATCGATAAAGCCGACCTGTGACAGCTTCTTTGTCACAGGTCGGCTCTAACTATGAGGATGAGTGGAAATCACTTACCTCATAGTTTTCCTTTAAGGATCTACAGCTATGTAATAAGATACATTTTTGTTAATAGTTAAGGTACTTGAATGCATTTTTTATTGCTAACTCCTTGTTTTAGTGTCACATTAAAATAATATAAAATATGAAAATGTTCTGTTCTTTTTTTTTTCCCCCGGAGACAAAGAAGATTAAGAAAAGCTGTGGACTATTTTTACTGCTGACCGGTTTGATACCAAAAAATAATTCTGTGTTTTAGTAAAATTGCTTTTTGTAGTACACAGATTCTACACACCTGTGTGTCGTCTTTGATGTCTCTTAAGTTGGTCCGAGCGAGAAAACCTCCTCTCACAGTCTTTAAAATCACACTGATAAGGTTTCTCACCTTAAAGATAAAAATATGTAAGAAAACCAAGTTTAACAAATGAAAAGTCCAATGGCAAAACAAAGCAGACTGCACATTTAGAACTCCATATTTCCAAACATATTGGGGTTGATTTACTTAAAGGCACATAAGCCGTTCACTTTGCAAGGACATTTTCTCTTAGCTTAGTGAATGTGGTGAAAAATCAGTTTGTAGAAATCTCTAACCAGGCAGCACAGTGGTTTAGTGGTTAGTACTCCTGTCTTGCACCACTGGGGGCTCCCGGTTTAAATCCCAATCAAGACACTATCTGCAAGGAGTTTGCATATTCTCTCTGTGCTTGTATGGGTTTCCTCACACACTCCAAAGACATGCTGGAAGGGTAATTTGCTCCAGTCTAAATTGGCATGGTAGGGACCTTAGAATGTAAGCTCCTTCAGGGCAAGGACTGATGTGAAATATGTAAAGCACTGCATAAACTGTTGTTGCTAAATAAATGCCTGTAACAAATAAATAATCATGTGCAAGGAAAAAAAATAAAAATTCTTGCTTGCACACAACTGGATGATGGAAGTCAGCAGAGCTTCACCTCATTCACTAACCCTGTTTGCTTTTTAGTTAATCAACCCCATTGAATTTATTAGCATAAGAAAGGGTTAGAATCTTCTGAGAATTTTATATCCTTCTGTGTCCCTTTTAGGGAGAATTTACCTCACTTTCTGTCGTAGTAGCCAAACAAAAAGTAGATCTCCTCATTGGGAACAAAAACACAGACATAAATTGCTTAATATTATCTTAGTTTTATTACTGTACCTGTCCCCAATGGAGAGATTTTGCTCAGTTTCAGGTCCTGCCTTGATGACCATGCAGTAAGTGTATAAATCTCCCCAAAGGTTCCAAAGACAGGCTCATACTCTTTCTCACTCTGTCCAATCAAAATAAAAATTTTTGCTGAAGCTTATTTTAGAATTGTGTAATGGACTTTAGTCTCACTTGGCTGGAGCTAAACCCTGACACACCACCAACGAGGTATGTGGCTTTACAGGGAAGGCTTGAGAGCTACTAAGAACAGAATGCCAACAAGGTGGAACTTCAGGGTAGAAGTCTATGGAAGTATATTTACTACAGTGCAGGGGGAGGTTTTAATTTCTGATGACTGCTCCTTTATAAGATAATAGGAGTCCTCTTCCACTGTCTATCAGGATGAATAGTTGCAAATGATTCTCAGAGATTAAAACACAACATCTGATGACTATAGTGAAGCATATTTTAACTACCTGTGTGCTTTCTACTATGCATCTGAAGATGGGACAGTTTGAAGTATCTTTTGTTGCATCCCGGGTATGCACACATAAAAGGCCTCTTTTCATTGGTTTCTGTTGATGACCGGACTATAGCTGGGGTCACACCAGGAACACGCCTTACATCCTGAAAAAGAAGACCACGTGTGCAAATGCTGATTATTAAAATGTTGAGTCAAATTGCATTTTTTTTTGTAGCACAACATCAAAGTGCAAAATGTGAACAGCACTTCCAATCAGTATCGTGATTAATCAGCAAAGCATGGATGACAATAATGCAAGGACTCATGGCTTTTTAAGTGGCGCGTTTAAAGTGATTCTGCCACATGCAAAGCAAGAATATACCGTAGTGTTGGAAAACAATGTAGAAATTAAAACCCAGTCCCAGCCGAATCTTTTCTTTTATGACTTTCTTTCTTCTTCTTTTTCTTTTCTTTTTTATTTTATGAGTGTTAGGATCACCCTCACCCATTTACAGAACATCTTGCATTCCGTGAAAATAATACAAGGAGTTCTGTGAATGGACAAGGGGACAGAACGGGGAGGGCAAATTAAGTGATCCCTTCACAGTCGCTGCCACGTCTGGCATCCCTGCAGCACTGGAGGATCACAGCTGTAGGTAGTATCCGGCATCAATGAAGGGATGTTTTTGCAGTTACCTGCAGCCAGCAGGACATGGGAGATTCTTCATTAGAGGACATTAATGTGACTGGTGCTGTAGCCCCCAAAACATTTTTTTGGGGAGTTCAGCTTTAAAGGGTAATTAGACTTTCCCAGGTGAATTTGGGAAAATTGAATTACCCCCACCAATCTGCCCCCCTTCCCTGATCTTACCTGTCTGTGATCGATCTTTCTATTTTGCGGCTGCCGGTGTAATATCTATACTCCATAAACTGTATTTCAAATTTCGCTCGCAAAGTGGCAAGCACTCATTGGTCAGCACGGTAACCTGACTGCGCTGCCCAATGAGAAGCACTTCTGACTGTGCTGACTAATGAGAAGCACTTCTTGCTAAGAAGCCACTTTCATTGGTCAGCACGGTAAGGTGGCGATGCTGACCAATGAGTGCTCACTATTTGCGTGCAAAATTTGAAATACATACCACAGGGCTGCAATCCTATGTACGGAGTTACGGATATTACACCTGCAGCCCTGGAGGGGAAGGAGCAATTGTTGACAGGAAAGAGCAGCAGGGGGGAAGGGGCAGATTGGTGGGGGTAATTCCATTTTCCCTAATTCGCCTGGGGAAAGTAGATTTACCCTTTAAATGGAAATTGTTTATGATTATAATTCATTTAGGCTTTACAACTACTGCAAGACATTTATTTTTTTGCCGTTTGTAGAGCAGCTCAGTTCAATGAAATGGAGCATCTTACAAATGGAAATGTTTTCTTGCAATTCATAGCGATATTCCTTTAACAGAAAAGTGAGGAACAAAGGGATCAGTTGTGTAGAGTACATTGATTGTGTTATCATTCTGCTCTGTGCAGAACAAACTGATCTGAAATATTGTATCTCAGGCTGGAAAATTGAACAAATAGAGCAGCTGATCCGACAAGGACCAGAAATGTCCCTGCCAGTGTTACATTGTAGCAGATAACGTCAGTGTTCCTCTGTGCAACACACTATGCTATGGACCGAAGACAGTACACTGCTGTGTACAATATGAATATTATAATGATCCAATCACGCATATCACAATGATTAGAATTGTTTATATGTGACTTTCTTAAAAATATTATGAAACTTAGGCTGGCTATACACGGTTAGAATTTCAGACGATTCACCGGAATCAGACACAATTCTTACAGCATGTGGTCCTGCCGGCTTGACAAAAGTCAAGTGACCAAACTGAACTGACTTTTGTTAAAAGCGTCGGGCCAAACATTTTCGGCTGAACAGTGACTGCAGCCAATCAGAATACAAAAGCCTGGGGGTTACTCATCATATGCATTTAGAAATTTCCTATAGATGTATAGGAAGCCCAGCCTCCTTAAAAGCACAGAAACACACAAGGGATCCCGCACATCCCAATGGCAGCTGAGAAACTGTAAGGTGCACACGAAATGTTCAAAGCCCATTTCGTGTGCACCTTACTGTATAACTGGTGACAAGTTGTTGAGTGCGTTTGTCGTTTGTTTTGCTTGACAGATTTGGTGCAGCGACGCATGGGGTTTCTCAGCTGCCATTGGGATGTGCGGGATCCCCTGTGTGTTTATGTGCTTTTAAGGAGGCTGGGCTTCCTCCTGACAAAACTGCACCCAATTTGAAATCTACTGCCCCCATGTGCTCCAAGATGGAGACTCTCATAGTTTAGGACCGCACTATAAGAGGTGCCTTGGCACGGCAGTGCGGCTTTCACATTTTCTGCAGAAGACGTGTATCCAAACCTCTGTTATTAACCTCAGTGGTGAGACAAGTTGTTTTACATGCTGGTTTGTGAGTGTTGGCATGAGGGGAGGGTTGGATAGTTGTGTTATCAATCACAACTGAAATGTTGAGGGAAGGTGCACGGGGTGGAGGAAAGATCATGAGCTCAGTTTTGAAAGGTTGAGTTTTAAGAAATGTTGTGACATCCAGACTGATATGTCATTTAGTAGATAAGTGACACGCAAGGACACTGAGGGGGAGAGTTGTGGAGTGGAAAGATAAATTTGAGTGTCATCCACATAGAGAAGGTATTGGAAGCCATGTGAGGTTATTAGTTGACCAAGGGAGGAGGTGTAGATGGAGAAGAGGAGGGGTCCAAGGACAGAGCCTTGGGGGACCCCTACAGAAAGAGGAAGAGGAGGGGAGGAGTTAGAATTGTAGGTGACACTGAAGGAGCGCATTGATAAGTAGGATGAGAACCATGAGAGAGCAGAGTCTTGTAGGCCAAGCGAGTGGAGTTTTTTGAGGAGCAGCGGGTGGTCAACAGTGTCAAAAGCAGCAGAGAGGTCTAATAGCAAGAGTAAGGAATAGTGGCCGTTGTTTTTAGCGGTTATTAGGTCATTGGTGAGTTTTAGGAGGGCGGTTTCAGTGGAGTGTTATTTGTAGCACAACATCAAAGTGCAAAATGTGAACAGCACTTCCAATCAGTATCGTGATTAATCAGCAAAGCATGGATGACAATAATGCAAGGACTCATGGCTTTTTAAGTGGCGCGTTTAAAGTGATTCTGCCACATGCAAAGCAAGAATATACCGTAGTGTTGGAAAACAATGTAGAAATTAAAACCCAGTCCCAGCCGAATCTTTTCTTTTATGACTTTCTTTCTTCTTCTTTTTCTTTTCTTTTTTATTTTATGAGTGTTAGGATCACCCTCACCCATTTACAGAACATCTTGCATTCCGTGAAAATAATACAAGGAGTTCTGTGAATGGACAAGGGGACAGAACGGGGAGGGCAAATTAAGTGATCCCTTCACAGTCGCTGCCACGTCTGGCATCCCTGCAGCACTGGAGGATCACAGCTGTAGGTAGTATCCGGCATCAATGAAGGGATGTTTTTGCAGTTACCTGCAGCCAGCAGGACATGGGAGATTCTTCATTAGAGGACATTAATGTGACTGGTGCTGTAGCCCCCAAAACATTTTTTTGGGGAGTTCAGCTTTAAAGGGTAATTAGACTTTCCCAGGTGAATTTGGGAAAATTGAATTACCCCCACCAATCTGCCCCCCTTCCCTGATCTTACCTGTCTGTGATCGATCTTTCTATTTTGCGGCTGCCGGTGTAATATCTATACTCCATAAACTGTATTTCAAATTTCGCTCGCAAAGTGGCAAGCACTCATTGGTCAGCACGGTAACCTGACTGCGCTGCCCAATGAGAAGCACTTCTGACTGTGCTGACTAATGAGAAGCACTTCTTGCTAAGAAGCCACTTTCATTGGTCAGCACGGTAAGGTGGCGATGCTGACCAATGAGTGCTCACTATTTGCGTGCAAAATTTGAAATACATACCACAGGGCTGCAATCCTATGTACGGAGTTACGGATATTACACCTGCAGCCCTGGAGGGGAAGGAGCAATTGTTGACAGGAAAGAGCAGCAGGGGGGAAGGGGCAGATTGGTGGGGGTAATTCCATTTTCCCTAATTCGCCTGGGGAAAGTAGATTTACCCTTTAAATGGAAATTGTTTATGATTATAATTCATTTAGGCTTTACAACTACTGCAAGACATTTATTTTTTTGCCGTTTGTAGAGCAGCTCAGTTCAATGAAATGGAGCATCTTACAAATGGAAATGTTTTCTTGCAATTCATAGCGATATTCCTTTAACAGAAAAGTGAGGAACAAAGGGATCAGTTGTGTAGAGTACATTGATTGTGTTATCATTCTGCTCTGTGCAGAACAAACTGATCTGAAATATTGTATCTCAGGCTGGAAAATTGAACAAATAGAGCAGCTGATCCGACAAGGACCAGAAATGTCCCTGCCAGTGTTACATTGTAGCAGATAACGTCAGTGTTCCTCTGTGCAACACACTATGCTATGGACCGAAGACAGTACACTGCTGTGTACAATATGAATATTATAATGATCCAATCACGCATATCACAATGATTAGAATTGTTTATATGTGACTTTCTTAAAAATATTATGAAACTTAGGCTGGCTATACACGGTTAGAATTTCAGACGATTCACCGGAATCAGACACAATTCTTACAGCATGTGGTCCTGCCGGCTTGACAAAAGTCAAGTGACCAAACTGAACTGACTTTTGTTAAAAGCGTCGGGCCAAACATTTTCGGCTGAACAGTGACTGCAGCCAATCAGAATACAAAAGCCTGGGGGTTACTCATCATATGCATTTAGAAATTTCCTATAGATGTATAGGAAGCCCAGCCTCCTTAAAAGCACAGAAACACACAAGGGATCCCGCACATCCCAATGGCAGCTGAGAAACTGTAAGGTGCACACGAAATGTTCAAAGCCCATTTCGTGTGCACCTTACTGTATAACTGGTGACAAGTTGTTGAGTGCGTTTGTCGTTTGTTTTGCTTGACAGATTTGGTGCAGCGACGCATGGGGTTTCTCAGCTGCCATTGGGATGTGCGGGATCCCCTGTGTGTTTATGTGCTTTTAAGGAGGCTGGGCTTCCTCCTGACAAAACTGCACCCAATTTGAAATCTACTGCCCCCATGTGCTCCAAGATGGAGACTCTCATAGTTTAGGACCGCACTATAAGAGGTGCCTTGGCACGGCAGTGCGGCTTTCACATTTTCTGCAGAAGACGTGTATCCAAACCTCTGTTATTAACCTCAGTGGTGAGACAAGTTGTTTTACATGCTGGTTTGTGAGTGTTGGCATGAGGGGAGGGTTGGATAGTTGTGTTATCAATCACAACTGAAATGTTGAGGGAAGGTGCACGGGGTGGAGGAAAGATCATGAGCTCAGTTTTGAAAGGTTGAGTTTTAAGAAATGTTGTGACATCCAGACTGATATGTCATTTAGTAGATAAGTGACACGCAAGGACACTGAGGGGGAGAGTTGTGGGGGGGAAAGATAAATTTGAGTGTCATCCACATAGAGAAGGTATTGGAAGCCATGTGAGGTTATTAGTTGACCAAGGGAGGAGGTGTAGATGGAGAAGAGGAGGGGTCCAAGGACAGAGCCTTGGGGGACCCCTACAGAAAGAGGAAGAGGAGGGGAGGAGTTAGAATTGTAGGTGACACTGAAGGAGCGCATTGATAAGTAGGATGAGAACCATGAGAGAGCAGAGTCTTGTAGGCCAAGCGAGTGGAGTTTTTTGAGGAGCAGCGGGTGGTCAACAGTGTCAAAAGCAGCAGAGAGGTCTAATAGCAAGAGTAAGGAATAGTGGCCGTTGTTTTTAGCGGTTATTAGGTCCTTGGTGAGTTTTAGGAGGGCGGTTTCAGTGGAGTGTTTGGGGCGAAAGCCGGACTGAAAGGGGTCCAAAAGGTTGTTATTAGCGAGGTGGCAACTCAGGCGGTTGTAGATGAGGCGTTCTAGGAGTTTAGAGGTGAATGGGAGTAAGGAGATAGGTCTGAAATTATTGAGGTTGGTAGGGTCCAGTGAAGGTTTTTTGGGTATTGGGGTGACTAGTGCATGTTTGAGTGGGGAAGGAAAGATTCCAGAAGAGAGGGAAAGATTGACATGTGGGTAAGAGAGTCTAGGATAGAGCAAGAGGGTGACCGAAGTAGTTTTGAGGGAACAGGGTCTAGGGGGCAAGGGGTGAGGTGGGTGTCAGAGAGAAGCTTAGTAACCTCCTCTGTGGTGACAGGGTCAAAAGAGGAAAGTAACAAGTGTGATGGAGGATCAGGTACTATAATAAAAGGAGCAGTTGATTGGACAGTGGCGATCTGATCTTGAATGGTATCTATTTTGTTTTTGAAATGAATGGCAATGTCCTGGGCAGTGAGTGAGTTAGTGGGTGGTGGTGGTGGAGGACATAGAGTAGTAGAGTAGTATGTAGTAGAGACTTGAAGGTAGAAAAGAGTTGACGAGGTCTGGATGAGAGTGTGTTAATGAGAGTGACAAAATAAGTTTGTTTGGCAGCACGGAGGGAGGAGTTATATTTTATCAGGGCAGCTTTGTACAGGGTAAAGTCAGTAATCAGTTTCATTATCAGACAGACAGTCCAACAGTCCACTGAAGGGGCTCACACACCAGGCCTACGATACGGTCACTAATTGCAAGGCAATGGCTTAGGAAATGGTTTTACTGGCAGAATCTCCAGGTATGAAACCTTGCAACAGATTCCCAAAAAAATTATTTGGTCAAGAAAACTTTATAGAGTGAGGCATGATGCCTAGCATACTGAAAAATAGACTTTGGGTTTACATACGTTTTAAGGCCGCTTCACTCCTGCGTGTTGCAGTAATGTGCACTTTGCTAAGCATACCACAACGCACGCTAAAGCATCCCAACACACAGTTATAGGAGTTGGCAACATACCTATGCTACAGCACACCACAAGAAATATCCTGTTAGCTCTTGTGTTGTATTCCAAAAATAGTGCAAACATGTTTTTTGGCCCTTGCAGTGCATTGCCAGGCCCCTTAAAATAAATGGGCTGCCTTAACGCAAAGCAGCTTAACACACAAAATGCTGCATGTTACCTGGCATTTAGTACCAAATGCAGCGGAAATGTGTGAAGGGACCACAAAGCTTGTCTAAATATTATCATAACAATTAGTAGCACCAAGCTTACTTGTAAGCCTCTGAACACGCCATGTGTGTGTATCCGGTACTGACCCCCACAGCTGTACAACATGGGTGCGCTGTGACTGTCATTTTCATAGGTTGTCCCGTGGCTGTAAAGAGAAACATACCGGTAAAATTAGTACCAATGGCAACAAACAAAAAAACTAGAGGAAGTAAACAATATAACATCTGTCTTATATAGGCAGTTGATGGAGGCTGGCTTTTCATGTCTTGTTACTCTTGATTGCCCTAATAGAGGTTTATGTTTTTTCAGGTGAACCTAAAAAAGATGTTTTAGTTATGGTGGATGCTGATGACTCCCACAGATTTCTTAGGTCTCCCTTGGACTCTGGCGGCAAATTCAGAATTCCCAACCATGGAATCTCACTTCCCTGACGCTAAAGAAGTTTTACTTCTCCTGCTGCATCATCCACAATAAAAAAATAGATGAAATAATCCAAGAGATTATTACCACAGATCTGTATGATTATCTTCTTAATAAGGAGCCTGAAAATATTTAATCTCACCAGCTCAGGTTATTAACCTTAATTTTCTTGGCTGCTAAATGTACTAAAGCTAAATCCTGGAAATTGAGTACAATGAGTTTTCACAAGGTCAAGAGCTGGATGAAAGTGACCATGATCTCCGAAAACATGACACCGAAAGACAAGATGCCCAACTTTGATAAATATGGACTCCCTGGACTAAACATTTTTACCACCTACCTTTGCTAGGAGGCTCCTGCAGTTATGAATATGATGATGGGGTGGGTTGTTCTCTTTAGGTCCCCTGCCCCCCTTTTCAGGCTTCCCACTCCCTTTATCCCCTCCTTCTTCCTTTGCTCTTTCTCCCATCCCCTTTTTCCCTATATACCTACTCCTGACTTAATGTGTGTTCTTGTCTCTCTCTGGCTGTGCTTTCTTTTGATTTCTCTTCACTCTACTTTGGTGCTCAGACTATGGGACTTCTCACTGGTTGTCAGAAATTATTTGGAGGACCCACCATAGATCGCTACATATGTCTATGCATATGTTTTGTTCATGTTATATTAAACCACTGCCTTACTTGTCCATAATGTCGCCTTGTTTTTGTCTTTTGCATAATGTGCACTGTAAAACTTAATAATAATAATATTGAAAGGAGATGGCCTGGAAGGGTGGAGCTGGAAATTATGATATCAATATAGTTCAGCTGGTGTCCCAAAGAGAGATAAGAATGTGGTGCTTCGAAAGACTGTCACCCATCTAAGACCAAATTAGGTAGATGGACCTTTTAGGATTTCTTGACAAAACTTTAAGACTTTGTGACAATCCCTGAAAAAAAGGACAGGCACTGTTGGCACATAATATGTTATTGATAGACTTTAAAGCCCATTTCCACCTTTGTAGGAGCACTTTTAAAAACACATATGCCAGCGATGTACACCGAGTGTACATGAAGCAGGCAAATGTAGTGGCGGTATATGAACACAGAAACTTTTTTTTTTTTGTTAGCTTTCCTCTTCATATCCTCAAGGAAATGGCTGCCTCTGTGCTCTGCAAGCAATATGTGTATATTGCAACTGAGCTCTCTCTGAGCTCTCCACCCCCCATTCATTAGTATTCATAGTGGTATTGTGTGGAAAGGCAGAGCTGGTGTTTAGTGATCATGTTACACACAATCCGACCCCAGTGTCACACTGAGTTTCCTGTGGAGAACATTTTAAATATGTAGGATTTGGGCCTATTAAAAAGTTCATAAAAATGAAGAAAGCCAGCAATGTGAGTCATGAAAATGTGCACACATATACATCATCACTGCACCTCTACATTACCACAATAAATGCTAATCACTCACAAAGGTGGAAATTGACTTTAAATCAAATCAGTAGATCAGGAGTCACACAAGAAAATATAGGAATGCAGCATAATATTATAACTGTTGTGTAGTAAAAAAAAAGTTAATCTTATGTTGTCCACACACTATATGATTATGAGAAACAATGCAAGAGATTAAAAGGAAAATAGCTAGTGCTGATGCTGACAAAGCCCACTTACACATTATCACAGACATAGATTCTTCAACAAGTCAATGGCGAGCGATCATTAGTCAGCACGGCCACATGATCTGACATGAGAATCTCTTCTTTCTTTTGGGATACCATGCCGGTAGAAAGAGGGCTCCGAAGAAATTTCCTTTCATCAGCACAGTCACATGGCCACGCTGACTAATGTATTCTTGCCATTGCCAGCATTATGATGCTAAACAGTCTCTGGGGCTGTGTAGCAAAGTTTTGAAGTGTGCAGCCCTCTACACTGAGCAGCGGGCTGGAAAGGGGGGAGGGGGGGTGGTGAGTTAGTTCACCTTTTAATTTTTGGTGAAAAGGTGAAATAACCCTTAAAAGTCAATCATGTTTTATATCATGCAATCATTCTAGTGGGAAACAATAACTTTTGATTATTTAACTGTTCCAATATACTTTTTTTCCAAATGGATAGAGAAGACAGCGGCACTAGGTTCTTATAGTATACAGTAAGGAGTCTATTCATCAATGTTTTTTCCTTTTATTCACACAATGCTTACCCAGGATTCAAACATTTTTCACATGAGAGTCCATTTAAAAAATATGCAACTCTTATGTGACAGTTGTGTGAATTTCGGGGATAAATATTGATAAATAGATCCCTAAATTAATCTGTCATAAAGTTCTTTATAAATGCCAGTGTGTCTGGTCTACAAAGATTTTTGCGACTTGTTGTAAGGTAGCCACCATTCCAAGCTCACTCCGGTGATGGATTATAATTTCAATACAAATAACATGTAAACATGAGATTGTAGTCCATCCTGGTAGTGATCTTGGAGCAGTGACTACTTTACAACACACACAGGGACCATAGGAAACAAAAGTAGCCCCCCTCCAGAAGGAAGGACGGTGTCAGCACCAATTCAGATATGATTTCAGGATCTACAGCCGAGTGATACACAAATAAGATTCATTTTTGTTAATAGTTAAAGTACTTTAATGTATTTTTAAGATTTAACGCCTGTATAGTGTCACTTTAAAGAAAACTGATTTTTTTCAATGAGATTTGAAAATGAGTCACATGGATAAAATAAAGATCCTTATTTTGTGTTCAATTTTTTTGAATTGAGTCTCTTAAAACGAAATTGTGCATAATTTTATGCACATGAGTTGAAAGTGATTGTGGACTTGTATAATTTACTAAACAGCAAAAACTCCAAAAAAATTTTGGAGATGGCCATATAGTTCACTGACATTTCAGACTTATGTTTATGGGCATTCATGCTAGACATACCGAACTGCATTGTAACTCTGAGCCAAACAAAGACAGATAAATATTTTGGCTTTACGTCTTGGAGATGAGGCTATGTCTAGGTCTGATTTTCCACAGATTCGGCAACTTTGGAAAGGAACTTTTCATCTTTGCTCGTGCGGCCATAGATCATCTATGCAGATATTCTTCCTTTCTACTTGAAGAACATTCAGGTCATTTTTTAACAGTCTGTGAAGTTTTATAACTGCAAGGAAGAAGCTGTACAACTTCTATTGTGTCTTGTATTTTAAGCTGTTCCCTAAAGATTACGTCCCATCTTTAATCTTTTACATTTCGAGTTCAGATGTTGGTCAAGGTTGATGGGTTTCCGCTCTGCAGCTCAGATGAAATATTTTTCTTTAAATGTATGTATATAGATAGATTTATAGGGGTGTTTCAGTTGGTATTGTTTAAAACAGTGGGTGTTAGAGATACCACCATAACAGCCCACAAATCCTGTACGGCCCTGGTGCTGAGGTTCGGGGGGCGGCATGCAACCCATTTGGCACTTATTGCGTGGCCCCCTGGAGACCATTGTAGACAGTGTTCCTGGTTCTCATTACCTAGGTGCTTACTCAGGCCAATGAAGATATAATATCCTTTAAATTGGTGTCAAGCAATTAACTTGTTTGGTTTATTGCTTTTACACTATCTTACTTTTTTCTGCTGCCCTCCTCTTTCCTCTTTTTAGTTTTTTTTTCCATTGATCTTTTATACTAGATCCTGCTGAGAGAAATATCATATGAGGTATAAGTCATTTTTAAAGGGGCTGTAGGGAGCAGAAATCAGGAAGCATTGATAAAGGGGCTGTATTAGCAGTGGTCTCTGGCAGTCTAATGTAACATGTCTCCAGTCTATGAATCATGACCCCAGTTTCCAACAACTTCTATAGCATGTCTGCAGTCTTAGATTATCTCCTGCAACATATCTGTAGTCCCTGATTATCTCTTGTAGCATGCCCGTAGCCTCTGACCATCTCTTGTAGCATGTCTGCAGTCCCTGATTATTTCTTGTAGCATGCCCAAAGGCTCCAACCATCTCTTGTAGCATACTCACACTGCAAGGGATGAAATGCTTGTTAAGTCTAAGGCCAGAGGAATAAACTGCAATACTTACCTTATTCCTTACTCCTTGGGCAGCAGTGCAATCCTCTTCTCTATGACACTACTGGCTGTGGACAGGTGCTCAACATGCTCACATTCAATGCAGCGCTATTGGTCCTTCTTTGAATGTGATAATAATAGAGAGCGACCACACTCTACGAGCGTTTAACCATTGCAGTGAGCGGAGGCCCCACTGCAAGGATAATATTTCAGCTGATGAGAGTGGGGTTTTAAAGGTGTATAACAAAAAATATAATTTTTAATACATGCTGGACACTTTAGTCATGATTTCCTTTTACAGCGTAAATCCTGCAGTTCTTCTTCAATGCACAGTGCATTCATGACACACAAAAGGGCATTTATGAAGCAGATTAGTGATACAATCAAATGCACCTCTACTGGATATCTGGCTGCTTTATTTAGCAAATTATATGCAAATGTTTGCATATAATACCTCATGTGCCTATTCTGGAATTTTTCTCTGGCCCATGGAGTTACGTATACAAAGCCAGGTTCAGTGGACAGATCTCAGACTGACTAGCTGAATCACAGTGATCTCCCTTCCCCCCTCCTTTTATTTCTATATAGTATGTGCACCTTGGATTAAGAGGGGACTTACAGTATTTGTGGTGCCTGAGAATTTGGTTATTTATTGCTTGAGCTGACCCTAATGACAGAGCAATAGTTAATGTATTATTTACATGTAAGGTTAATTTCAGTTAATAAAGTTTGATGAATTTTCACGATGTGTTAAACCAGCATTTCTCATCTGTTCTCATTTGTCATCTGTTCGTCAGCCATGGCATGCTTTAAAAGTATGCAACATTTTGAAGAACCCCAGTATAAAATTAAAAAAATAAACTATAAAAAAATGACGTGTGGTTACCCTCAAAATCTATATCAGACGCTTATGCTAGGTAGAGGTTTGGTATGGATTTTAAGGGGGGACCCCCACACAGAAAGAGTTAAAGTTGAGTTTCACATCACGTTAGGGGCTCCCCTTTACATCGGAATCCTCAGCCCCCCTTTCACATCCAAGTCCTCCTTTTTAACATCAGAATTCCCCCTTTCATATCAGAATCCCCCCTTTCACATCAGAGTTCCCGCATTTCACATTAGAGTTCCCCCGCTTTTACATCAGAGCTTATAATCATCACCACAGTGCGTCTGTGGCAGCATGGCAGAGGGCAGGATGTGGAGCAGGTCTGGATGGACGCAGATTTCTGTGCTCTTCTAAATGCTTAATGAAGTCCTGGATGCGGTCCATCCTGGATTAGCATCATACATTTTCCATGGTGCTGGTGGCTGACTTGCCTGCACCATGGAAAAGCATGATACGCCAGAAGGCACCCCAGGTGCCTGGTTGAGGAAGGCTGTTTTAAATAATAAAAGTGCCATGGGCATTCTTATTCCAAATTGTAGTGTTGGGTCTTTATTTATAGTTGTTATACTGCTGGGTACCACATGCTATCCCATGATATTTTATCTATTTGTTTATTTGATTCCAATTTCTTTGATTTTGACTTGTTGGTGCTTATTGCACCACACTCTGCAAGAACAATGCATTTTCCTTCCACTCACAGTAGTCATAACACACAAATACTACTGTATATAGAAACAAAATAGTAGAAATGCAACAGTGCAGTTCTTCTACACAATGGATGTGTACTCTTACCCTTTCAGTGAAGAACTCAGATTCATCTGGTTCCATGTCATGCATTCTAGCTGCGAGGTCATCTGGTACAGATTGTCACTGTGGTAGAAACAGATGCAATAAGTGACATTCAACAACCCGATCCCATTCAGTCTTATCCACCATGTATTGGTAAGGGCTAAAATACACAGGCAATTTTAATCTCTTGCTACTGAGAGAGGTTACCAGTTGTTGGAAGTCACCTCATTAGATCTAAGGAGATTCTGAGTAGGTCAATCGTGTATCGAGTATTAACTGATCATTAAACTAATGGAACAAACGGCTCTATGTGGACTAAGCTATCCAAGTAACATACGCAGTGCTGATTCCGATCCAGGCACAATCATGCTCCATTCAATGACATGACTGCATTTCATCCCTTTGTTTACATCAAGCTTAGGTAAGGAAATTTCCCACCCGCAGCTGATTGGGTGGCACAGAAGGAGCTTCCTTCTTTGTTTGGGAAGAGATCCTTCCTTGTTCAGAGGAGCTCAGGTATGGACCAAGTTCAGTACTGACATCATTGACCTTTTATGGTCGCATAAGATCAATTTCATTGACCAAATATAGCTATGTAGCCATATAAGGTCAATGACATCACTGCATTCCGTCCCCTTGCATACATCAAGCTTAGGGAGGGAAATTCCTCACCTACAGATGATTTGGTGGCACAGAAGGAGCTTACTTCTGTGTTTGGGAAGAGAATGTTCCTTGTTCAGAGGAGCTCAAGTACGGACCGCGTTCAGTCCTGACATCTTTGACCTTATATGGCCACATAAGATCAATGTCATTGGTCAATTATAACCATGTGGCCATATGAGGTCAATGACATCACAGCACCCCACCCCCTTTGCTTATGTGTAGCTGGGGGGAATGAGCACTTGGCTGGAGAACTCGTCTTGGCACACTGCACATGCGCTGTCCGCTTTTTCTCTCACTTGCAAAACGCTGAGCTGCGCAGCTGCAAGAGAAAGCAAACTGCACATGTGCAGTTAGCAAAGTCAAACTCTCCTAGCCGAGTACCTGTTCATAAAGAGATGGGGCCACGTTTAAAACCATTGGTCCATCTTGCCATGTACATGGGACGGAGAGAGGGAGCCTATTGGAGCACCATTAATAAAAGAAGGCATGGAAGGCAGCATTTTAATATGCATTGCAGCTGTAATGTTAATCGATTAAAAAAATATAATAATAAAGGGGAACGAACCTTGTAAGTAAATTTAACCCCTTGTTACATACGCACCTCTCTTGTACCAAGAGCCTAATCTTTCTGGAACCAGTGATACCAGTGCCATGACTTATTGCTTCATACATCCATGAATTCTTATTATATAAACTGTCTACATCAGGGATAGGCAACTTTAACACTCCAGCTGTTGTGGCACTACAAGTACCATGAGTCGAAATGCAGCCACAGGCATGACTCCCAGAGGCATGATGGGTCTTGCAGTTACACCACAGCTGGAGTGCCGAGGTTGCCTACCCCTGGTCTGCATTATTCATTCTTCTACTATATCCTTTTTTTTTCAGGAGTCGCCAAGCTATCTGGCTTTGTTTGCAGGTTCTTTGCCTAGTCTGGCATTATATCTGCCTAACAAAGACAAGAAAAGAATAAGGGAATCACTCATTACAAGGTCTGGACTGGCATGAAGCTCACACAATATTCTTCATATCAATTCTAAAACTATCTTCTCTCCTGCAGTTTCCCCCTGTCATCCCGTGCTGGTCTGTACCACTGCGTTTAGCAATTCCACAAATTCTTCCTGTACCGCCAGTGTAATTAATACCTCCAGGACCATTTTTTTTATTAGAAATACCAGCTCAGGAAAATTACAGCAGGAGATTCTTTTAAACCCGTGTTGAGATGACACGTCATTTTTAACTTTAAATGTTTCTTTTTTCTTCCTTCGCCCTGTTCTGCTGGGTTCTTTTCAACAAGTGGTCTCATTTTTCTCCGGATTGTCATTAATCTAAATGTATTGCATATCACTGTGTTCCCTTGGAAAGCTATTACCTTTGTTACTAAACAGTGCAGCCAAAACAGGGCGCTGATCTGCCTCGTGGTAATTAAGTTCATTAACCTTTCCGATACCAGAAGGGTTTCTTCTGGGCTTCCTACAT